ATCTTCCAGCTTCTGACTGACTGAACACAGCTGAGCAGCCCTCGAGGACTGGAATTGGCCACCCCTGGCAATGGCAGCTCTTCTACAGCTTCAGGAAAAATACGTAAGTCAGCGTTCGCCCACTGTAGTAATGGCGACGTAGTTTTTGTCCACGAGCGTCATCAACAGTTTAATTCACCGAACTCCCTTGAGAAACATAACAGTTTATTGGTCTTTTCCTTTTCTGTAAATGTACATATGTTTCGTCGGTTAGACAGCTGTTTTATATAGATTACTATAAAGAGTTGGTTATTTCGGCACTCATATAATTGCCAAAGTCCCCTTTAAGTAAAGTTTTTTTTAAAGCCTCCTCTTTCTCAAACGCAGTGGGGTGGTATTAAGACGTACAAAACTATTTAAAAATTAGATTTTTACTGAGTTTTTGATTATTATATATAATTTGTTGGCCGAAGAAACCAAGTAGGACTTTTGAGTGGGTTAACTACTTAAAATATTCTTTTATGCTAAAAACATTGGTGCCAGTAAGTGATGCAATAAATTTTTCGCATATATTTCAATGGCGTTGCGTGTAATAATCTATAAACAAGACTGGTTTCCGTCTTCCATACATTTTTGGCTACTATAGCTGGAATAACTAGTGACATCCTGCAGGTATGTTATGGCTGATGTGTGTAGGTTAGTCACACTATAAAGCTACAGTAGGCATTCATTGTGTTACAAACACTTGTCACAGTTTATTAACAATCACTGAATCAACGAACAATTCATGTCACTCAAACTTTTATGACACATTTTTATGCAAGGTGACTTTGCTGGATATTCCCCTTGAGACAGGCAACTTTTTTTTTTTTTTTTTTTTTATGTATAACATTTTGTTTGCATGTTGATTCAGTGAAGATTCTTGCTATCTCACCCAGGGACTGTATATAAAAATGGACCACGTCACCACTTAACTCCACTATGCAAAAGTGAGGCGAAAATATCTTGAATATAGTGGCTACCATTTTGGCATTTTGCAACCAGATTCTAGTGAATAGTAGAGTGACATTATCAGACCATCAGTCAAAACTCTATCAAAAACAACAGAGATCACCTTTGGGAAAATTTTATTTGACTTGTAATTTTAATTTTTTGTTTGGCTTTTGTATCTGCTGACATGGAGGGGTAGGATTAATGACATACTCCAACCAGCTACCGGGGGCAATTGGCTGCCAGTGGCTTCACTTCTAGGAGCTCTCACTTTGTGTATTTTTATATACAGTTTATGGTCTCGCCATACAGTCATGTTTTGTTTGTAGCTCCCTCTGTGGCACCAGATATTTAGGCCTATGATATTGAGCCATACTCAGTGGATCAAAGGTCATGCTAGTGCAGAGTGGCCACTATCTTCAGACAAGGAGGGTGTTCCTCATCAAGGACTGGTTGTTGGTTCTCCATCACCTGGCGCTGCTTCAAATTTTCATGCCCATTACCCTGATCAGAATATGGACCCCTCACTGTGGTGCTGCTTCAAATTTTCATGCCCATTACCCCTGTGGTTCCTACAGTGTGTTTACACTTGATTGGTCTTGTTTGGTGTGAATGCACATGTAAAGGCTGACTGGCTTTGGCTCTGCATTCTGGTTTGCAGTTCTTCAGAAGAGGACTGGGTGATTTTTTTTCATCAGCTGCCTGTTCACCACCAGAGTTCAGCACTCCATCTCCATAGGCAAGATCCTCCTCCAGGTAAATCACTTAGATGACATCTTTATTTACTATTGTTGTATCCCAATTTCCCTGCTGTGGCACTCTCTCAGATCTGCTTTGGTGTGGCCTAAAGTGTCGGTTGAAAAACCACAAAAGATAAAAAGATCAGCCATATTGGTCACTCCACCTTCATCTAAGATGTTATCCGGGCAGTGGCTTCACTTCTGGCAGTTGTCAGTTGTCCATCTTTATATACAGTCAGTGCCTGAAACTGCTGAACAGATGTTGAAAAAGTAGTTTATACAGCAGTGGTAAAGTACCTACAGCATCATATGACAAATTTCATTTTGTTTAAATGTGATACTGTGAGCATAATGAGTAATAAGAAAAATGTACTTGCTAAGTTATTATTTAAATGGTCCATTTATGTCTAAATGAATTTTGTTGGAGCACATTGGTAACCAAATGGTTACAGTGTAGGGGCCAGGAACCTTTGTTGCACATCGTGCCCCCTGTCTTTCCATGTTTCCTGTCTACAAACTGCTGTTAAATAGCAGCAAAATGCCAATTGAAAATTATATAGTTATTAAAAGCAGAAAATGCCAAAAGCTACTCATTGTTTAGTCTTTTTTTTTATAGCGTTTTGTTTTTACTAGTATGTAACTATAGGACTTTAGTCAAAATCTGAAATTCTTTTGACTGAAGTTGCGAGATTAAATGGGAAGTGTCCTACAAGCATAGTAACAATACAGGTGCATTCCTTTTGTTCTTTGTCCCCATATCCAGCTGGGCTTGCGACAAGACCAGGCTGCACAGAATCAGTGGTGTCACTGTCGCCCTGAGCTTCTTCACACACTGGATCTTGGTCTTCCTCTTCATGTCCTGGATGTAAGGTGCACAGAATGATGGCCTTCCCTGTCTCAGCACACTGTGAGTAACCTGCTGATCCTTGCTCCACACATGTAAGGTCGCTGTTAGGTTTGGGGAAACAAAGATTCTGACCATGTAGTCACGACATTAAGAGAAAAGTTGTATGAATAGGGTCATAATGAGAAAAAGTCATATTTTGAGAAAAAAATATTTCCAGAGATGCAATTTTACAAGAACATTTGTAAAACCTTTTATGTGAAATGTCTCTTTTCTTGTGAGCTTTTTTTGAGTTGAGAAGACTTTTCTCAAAATACACTCAGCTGGTATTTTATTAGGTACACCAAGCTAAAATCTTTGCAGCCTGTTACAGCAGTGCTGCAGTAGATTCTCCTTCATGTTTTTGTTTCAGAGAGATGTTGATTCAACTGTTTGGTCATTGTGAAGGCTGTAGCTTGTGCTGCTGTTGAACTGTACTGCATTATACAGAGCTAATAGGCTTACTGATATAAATGGTGTAGACAAAACAATAAAACCAGATCCTCCAAAATGATCTTGGAGTGGAATCACCACCTCTCTAAAGCAGTTTGAACAAAAACAGATCATCACCTTCATGAAGGAGGATTTATTACAACTGACTTCTGTTCTTAAAGATGTTTATTCGCCCTATTGAACAGTTTTCTCAAGATCTTAAAGACTTTTCTCAAAACAGGCCTGGAGCCAGCCCCAGCCCACACTGAGTGAGAGGCGTTGTACAGTCGGGATAGGCTTCTAGTGTATCACCTAGACGGATGCAGTTTAAGCTGCATGGTTTTGCACTGTGGTACGAAGCTGGAGAAGAACCCACAGACTGGTGCTAACCACTGCATGAAGCAGCTTTTTTTGACCTCACTATTTTACCCGCACCAGTACAGAACTGTGCGGCCAAGTCTCAGCAGCTCAGTGTTTGTTGTGCACTGCATCATTATGCAGCTTTTATCTGACTTAGAATGTCTGAATTGTATATATTTATCGATTTTTACTAAAGAAAAAACAGCCCTAAATGTTGTTAGGGCTACATTAGTATAATTCTTTACTAATGTACAGAGAATATTAAGACACTATTTTAAAAAGAAACCTTTAAATTGTCTTGATAGTTTGCTCTTAAAAGGCTCGATGATGGCAGTGTGGGGGTCTGCAGGGCTAATGTATGCGTGTCCCAAGTGTAAGCAGACGTAATAAAATAGAAAATTTAATTAACTCTCTAGTTCAAATTAACAGGCCGTCTCAGGCATCACGTCTTGGTCAAGAGCCTCTAACAGCTCAGCTTCCAAGTACAAATGAATATTACTGAGGCAGTGCAAACTCATTTACTGTGAAATGTTGGCTTTTTATTCACACATATTTGCAATAACGCCATAAGAGTACAGCATAAAACACTGATAACTGAAATGATCTCCTTTTACAGAAATGATCCACAGACATGCTCAAGGTCTTCAACTGAATTTGGAGCCCCCTCCAGTGGAGGAAAAACCAGTGCCTGTTAACCGGCTGATGACACAAGCTGAGCAATCTTCTGCTGCAGCACAGCCTTCATCTCTTGGTTCTCCAGGTTGTCTGTGATGGTGGAGAAGAAGTGTCGGGTGTTGTCGCTCTCCAGCGGACTGCTGCTGTCAGGAAAGGTGGCCATGATGGCTTTGTAGTGACTGAGGATCTCCAGACTGGACAGGAACAACGGTTCACACTGGCCTCCTGGCATCATCACCTGGGAGGAGGACATGTAACCACTGACAGGTTAGGAGAATCTATTTAGTTAAACGAGGCAAAGGGAAATGACTTTAAATCTAGTATTTTTAGTGGCAAGGAGACAGAGCGCCTTTAGGACACACGAGGGGGAAAACAATTCATCTCGCTCCATTGGCTTTGTATTGAGTGAAGGCACTGCTCTGTCAGTGGTCTTTTTACAAAAAAAGCCTAAAAGGTTCTATGTAGTAGGATGCGCTACCAATAAGGACAAAAACCTAGAGTTGGTTTTAAAAGCTGCCTAACAAAAAAAAAAAGAGAACCTTTAAGAAATGTGATGCATTCTCAGGAAAAACAGGGAAACTGGGGGATCCTGACACTCGATCTGCAGCAAGCATTTTGTCACCATCAAGGCAAATTTCTAAAGAGCAGTTTAGCTTACAGCATTCCCAGAAGTTAAGCTACAGCATTTTACAGTGTGCAGCTTGTTATAAATCAGAAAGCTATGCAGTAATGTTTGTGGGTACCTTAGCTAATTGCAGTAGATGGCACACACTGCTAACCGCCAACTTGTCCCATCATTTTAGTTATGACCAGCTTCCCTCTACATATGACTAATAAATAAATGGTAATGCTATGTTAGCAAGCTACTGTAGTTAGATAAGGCACCTACAAACATACAAGATGCTGGCTTCATGCTTATTATACATAGTGTCAGGATCCTCTTTTCCCGTTCTTTCTGCTAATGCTTCACATCTTACCCACTTTTGTCTTTGTAAAGCTTTGGTTTTTTGTTCAGCAGCTTTTAAACCTTTAACTCTTGGTTCTTTGGCTTCTTGGTTATGCATTCGACCACATAGACAGCATTTAGGCATTTCTCAGTTTTTTGTAAAAAGACCACATTTCCAAAGATACACCTTCACAGTGGAGAGTGACGAACTTCCCCCCCAGTGGGTGTTGTTTTCAGAGTATGATGTTTTGCGCTCTGTCTTTGTGGTTTTATTGTTTATCACTCCTACCTGGATGTGCTGAACATGGCAGAAGAGCTGGCTGAGAACAAAAAGGACTTCCTGGCTAGGAACCGTCTCCACCTCATCTTCCACCTGTGACTCATTTGATTTCAGAGGAGAGTCTCTGGATGTTTTAGAAGCTTTAACTGAAGTGCAGGAAGGGTCCGAGTCTCTAAATGCTGGTGTTTTAGGAGGCGTTGAACCAGATGCAGGAAGAGGCAGCTTGGCTCTTACCGAATTCATCATCTCCCTCACAGCATGGGCGTATAACCTGCCAATGTGTGCCCAGCTGTCTGCTGACAGCCAGTGTGAGCAGCTGGACCCACAGAGCAGCTGAAGGACTCGCAGCAGGAGGACTGACAGGCGGAGCTCACATGAAAACCTCCTCAAGTCCAGAAGGGGCAGATAGTCCACATACTCAAGTGAGAAGGGGACGTGGAGACGACTGGAGGTGATCAGCTCCCTCAGCGTTCCCAGCAGCCTGGACCACTGGGAGATGGAGCAGCATGGAAAGACCTGGGTCAGAGCCACCAGCAGGCCTTTGCTGAACATGCTGACGTGTTCAACCTGGCGCTGGTCCAAAGAGAGACAGGACAACATGGTGGACTTCAGAGAGTCTGATATAGTGCAGCACTCCATCCAGGCCAAAAGGCCGGTACCCTGGCCGTACTGGGGCAGGTCCAGACCTGACCACTCCTGCACAGGACAGAGACGAGACAAGGAAAGATGTATCAGTTTACTACAGAATCAAAGGCAAACAAAAAACAAGGTAGCAATGACTTTATTCCCAGAACATGACATTCATTCATTCATTTTCTACCGCTTAATCCCTGAACAGTGTCACGGAGGTGGGCCGGAGCCAATCCCGGCCGGCAATCGGGCGAAGGCGGGGTACACCCTGGACAGGTCGCCAATCCATCGCAGGGCTAACACATAGACAACACCACACACACTCCTATGGGCAATTTAGAGACACCAATCAACCTACGCTGCATGTCTTTGGACTGTGGGAGGAACCCGGAGAGAACCCACGCAAGCACGGGGAGAACATGCAAACTCCACACAGAAAGGTCCCAGGTGGGGCCCGAACCCGGAACCTTCTCACTGTGAGGCAACGGTGCTAAGCACTGTGCCACCGTGCTGTCAGAACATGACAAATTATCTATTTGTGTTTCAATTATTTCTCAAATGCTACCATTAAATGTTGACTTCTGTCATATCTTGATACTTTGTTTTAAAGTATTTTTGATTTTCAAAAAAATTTGCATTTTTTTTTTTACCAGTCACCAGTTGTTTCACCTGTATTTAATAGAAACAGTCTTCTACCTAGCTGAGGTTTGTTGATCATACACTACAGTTTGCCTGAGCCAACAATTGCACTGGGAGAACTTGGACTGTGTTATTTATGAATGTAAGAGCACATAGTCCTGCTTTTATCTGAAACCTTGGTAGAATAATGTATCCAAAGAAACTCAAGATTAAGTCAAACTCAGACAAGTTTTTACCTGCTCCGGTAGATCACACACAGTCAGCAGAGATGAGGGAACTTCATTTTTAAAGTGTTGCCCCCACACAGGCTTCAGGTGGAACCTCACTGTCCAGTCCAGCTCCTCTATCTTGTTGTAGAGCCAGAACAGAGCTCTGGACCAGCTGTTAGGGGCTGCTGCCACCTCTGCACCCACCAGCTGCCCCAGTGTGGTCAGCACAGACACCAAAAGCTCCTTGGAGTCCATGGACCAGTGGTGGGCAGCGCCCTCTGCTGGCTGCTCCCAACTCCTACAGAGATTTGTATGGATACATGTTGAAATTAAAGCTGGGTCAAGGTCAGCTTTCTGGGTGTTAAGTAAAAACTGAACCGTTCAGGAATAAAACAATATAATATCAAATATCTGTGTCTGCCTACAAAAACACTCCTCATACAAACCTGAGAGCCTGGTTGTGTAGCTGGGCAAGGATGTAGAGTAGGGGAAAGGGAGAGCAGTCCAACACCCAGTGCCGAGAACAGGCTCGATCCTGGACATCCACACACACAGCAGCATGGAGAAGTTGCATGCTCAGTTCTATGTCAAAGGAACTGTGACCTGGAGGGAAACAAAAAGAGTACATTGGAGTGGACCAGCTCAAAATTATTTTATTTACTCAAAACACACACCAATAAATTGTGCACTACTTGCCTTAGTGAGCACAACAGAGCATTTGACAACATTAAGAATCAGATTTTTCACCCAGGAGAGCGAATATCAAACTAAATGCTAACACTCTCTAAGCTAGATACATAGAGGAACCTGCATGTTAGCCATAATGACTTTCTACATTGACAATATGTTAAATTATAGGTTGAAAATGTACAATTCCTGCTTTAAATGTGATTAACTGTGACCAGGATATACAGTAAGTGACACAGCAGTGCTCTCTATTAAAAAATACTTTCATATTCACCCCATCATAGCTTTGGCTTCTCTGCCATTTCCTGTCACCTGATATTTGTAACAATACTGATATACCTGCCTAGCCTGTTTACTAGTCCTGATCTACATTAAAGTTCATTATTGACCTTGGGAATAAGTTTGACAAAATACTTGTAACTCTAAGGTGACTTACAAGCAGATGTGACTTCTGATCTGATTTCACAGGATTACATAAACTTTGTTCAGGTGTCTTGAAGTTGGTTTAAACAACTAAGATGGCGTGTCTACAGAATAATCAAACTGTAACCTTGTCCATCATTTAAACCAACTTCCAACACAACTTCAGTTACTGATTAAGAGTATGGGATGAGGTTTCCAAAAATAAAAAAAAAGCTAGTGAGTAAATTCAGATTAGTTTGTGACACTTCTTGAAGAAAGTTCAAGCTAACCAATATATCTCAGATCTCAGTATCAAACTGTGTCACTAATTACCCAAATGCATATTATAAAGAGACAAGATTCCTACATAAACATGTAAGCCTGTAAATGGAAATAATAGAAGCTTACAGTGTTTTAAAGCATGAATATCAGGGTACTCACCCATAATGGCAAGGTTAGGAATGACAAAAGTGTTCACGACCTCCTGAGGTAGCAGAAAACTTTGCAACAGTTCTTCCCCCTCAGCTGTTATGGTTGGCATCATCAGCAGACCCAGAAACTTTATAAACTGCTCTCTCTCACTGGCTGACAGTGATTTGGTCTTGAGCATCTCCTGGAGACACCTGCAGATAAGGCTGCTCCCACTCACAGCAACCTCTCCATTTATATTTTCCTCTGCCTTTGTTCTTTCTTCATCTTTACTTTGAGTTGCATTTTTTCGACCCCTCTGTCCTCTGAGTCCTGGCAGCTGCTGCAGGATCTTAGCTATAAGTGAGAAAGCCCCCTTGTTGAAAATAGCTGAATGGCAACAAGATCTCAAAGCGGCCTTGGGGTTCTGAAAAGCCACTCTCGCTACTAACGAGGCTGCTGTGTTCAGACTGGCCTGTGATGCTATAGCTGAAGTGCCACCCCCTCCTTGGATGATGCAATTGAAGGCCATGTTGAGCTCCTGTTCAAATCCATCAGTCACAGCAGAGGGGAGAGAACACTTGAAGAACCCCCTGCTGGATAGCCTCAGCATGGCAGCCAAGGATTTATTCTGGTCTTCTACTGAAAGCGCAGAGAAAATGTCCACAATCACTTTTATCAGTTTCCTGCACTGGCTCACATTTGAGCTCTCACTTTGTAGTTTACTCATGACGGTGGAGGCGAGCTCAATGAGCGTGTTGTGCTGCTGGAAGGCTGCCTGGTTCTTTTCCAAGCAGTCCAGCCAGAGCTCATTATAGGAGGCCCATGACCTCTCACGGGCAAATAACACAGCGAAGTTCTGATAGTCTTCCAGACAGTGACTGATGATGACTGTGGTAACCTCTACGTTCACTGCAGGGCTGTTCTCTAAGGCAGGGAAAGCCAGTGACTCCAGCAATCCTCTGAGTATGTTCTTCTCTTTCTCCTGAACAGGCATTTCAATCATACTCTGAGGCTCTTCTGCTTCATGTAGGGCTGTCAGGACTCTCTGCAGGCTTTGTTGTAGTTTGAATGCAAAGTAACCAGGAACCGAGCTGTCGTACAGTGTCAGCAGCCCACTGTTAAGCCAAAACTGAGCAAGTTCTGTTATAATCTTCAAGGCTTCACCAAGTTTCATCCTGCTTGGTTGAAACTGAGATGGCGAGTGAGAAGCACGCAAGTCTCTCTGGGCTTCTTGAATAAGTTCAGGACTCAGTTTCTCCTCCTTATTTTCTCTGATACTGACAACTTTAGACAGGATGTACATCTTCTCTTTAGTTGGAAGTTTGACTTCTTGGTCTATTAAGAAGGATGTGTACAGAGAATCAAGAGAAATGGAGAGGGCTTGGAGACACAGGTCTGCTGAGCTTATGTGACCTTTCATGTCTTCTAGTGCACGAAGGAGAATGTACAGGATATCAGTAGTCGGTGATGATGCCAATTCATCTGATGTGTCAAGCTTTAATCTCTTGGCAGCCTGAGGGGACAGACTAGAGGACTTACAGGACAGATGACTAACCTGGTTAGCAAACATTGCCTCTATGCTATCTCCTTCTCCTCCTTTCTGATCATCTCTGCCCTTCCACATTTCCCACCACACATCCAGAAAAAGCTGAATATCATCTTCCCTCATGGGACTGCTCCTCACATGTTGCGTCAGTCTTTCTAGCTCAGTGCAGACCTGAGATTGAGGAAGACACAGGAGGAAATGGGCAAAAATATCTGCAGCTGCTGTTGACTTCACCAGCTCTAGCAAGACAGCATGGCTGACCTCAGGGAGGCCATTCTGGAGAGGGAAAAAAGGGTTCTCTCTCCATCCTCTCTCTACATCCTCTCTGGTCTCCCTGCACAACAGCTTCAGCCACACAACGCAAACTATCTTCTTTTTCCAGTAACAAGCCTTTGTGTTGGGGCGACCGCCAAGCTGGTCCTGTCCGCAGATTTCTCTGACTGCCTCTGCGACTGGATGGCCCACCCTAATCCAGTCAGCTTTCTGAATGGAGGACAGGGATGAGGGGAGGCAGAGCTTATTAGCCAGGAGGAACGCACCCTGAAGAACGGCTGAATCTGAAAGCACAAGAGAACAGGCTCAAAACTAAGGCAAGGAGCAGTACACCGCTCATTCAGGCTTGTCCAATCATCCAGTTCTGAAACTTTGCTAGATCCTACAGACAAGAGGGGGACAGTTGTGTTATCATGAACAGTTCATAACCAAAATGTACTATCATATACAACAGATGAAAGCAACACATTTATCAGTGTTTTGTTTAAAAAAATTACTTAAACTTATAATTATAAAGAAAAACAATTGCTAGTTAATTTACTGCCAAATAATTTCCAGCTCTCATCGTTTATTAGTAATCTATCATGAAATAACGGCCTATAATACCTTCTAGAAAATGTGGTTTAATGCTTTTTTTCCTAACCTGTGAAAACATATCTGATATATCTAGGCATCCATTTTGCTGATTAGGAATTAATTCACAAAACAGCGTCTGCTTGAATAAATAGTTTTGGTTTTCCTGTCTATCTCACAATCTTCTTTCACCCAAATATCTTATATCTATGTACAATAATGAGAACTAACGTTATTGGCTGAGCTGTTACTTGCAATGCAGCTGTTTTCCGCAAAATATGCTGTTTGGGACACTGCCATCGAAATAGTAGAACCAGACTTCAGTCTTGACTTTGAGAAATACAACAGATTTGAAAAACTAAACAGCTTTAGTATGAGTAGCGTCAGAGAAAGTTTTTTTGTATTAAAACTTACAAAAAGTTGACGTTACCTTTGTCCATGACTGATATCACCACTTAGCTTCTGAATGTAGAGTCCTCAGTAGCTTATTTTAGTCCCGCTCTGGGTGCCACCCATGAGCTGCACCACAGCGGTCAGAAGTCAAATTAGTCGAATAAACCACGAATAACTCAATGAAGCATATTCCGTCGCTCTAAAAAGCTCTTCACAAATTTATAGCAGCATGTCAAACGTTCGTATAAGGCGCTTCCGTTGTTCCGCATCAACGTGTTAAAAGACAAAAGCGACCCGCTGCTCTCAGGGTTTGTTTTTTTGTATAGCGCCACAGCAGGACGCACCGAGTACTGCAACTGGAACCCGGTGTTAACAAAAAACACTGCCCGTTCGATAATGTTCGCAAGGTGTTGAATTTTCTAAATGTTAAAATGTTAAAAACATAGTTAAGAAACATGTGATTTATCGTTGCTTTCCCGATTTTATGTGTGTTATAGCATACAACATTTTTCACCGAACATAAAGCATAGAAATGACTGTTTAAACAATAAGCTGTATTTAGAACACGGGCACATGGGACATGTAAAATTCGTTTAAAAGCATTTTGTCTGCATTATTTGAGCGTTTCACCACGTGACAGGAGGAGCTACAGGCAAAGTTTATGTTTTGTCCTGGGAAACGAAAGTGAAAGTGCGCCTTCTTAGCTGCACAGCTCAGAGTGGAACTCTCGTTACAAGGGGATTTCTACCAATGTATTATCATGGGTTTAATCTTAAAGATACTTATTTACTTGTGCCTATGTGCAGGTAAGTCACTGACTGCAGCTTTGTTGAAGATTGTGGCGTTTTTGGAGCTAACATGTAGGACATCGTGTCATTAGGTGTAATAGCCCATATGACTCGAATGAACTGACGACTACATAAAGTATATTACACTGCTCACTATACTACAGTGGTGGAAGAAGTACTTTGTTTACTTAAATAGTGACAGCAATACCAGTACAAATACTCTGCTACAAGTTGAGGGCCTGCATTCAAAATGATTCTTAAGTAAAACATAAGTATGAGCATTAAAATACACTTACAGTACCAAAAGTAAAAGTACTCATTATACAGAATGGCACATTTCACATTAATGTACTAAGATATCATACTATTGTATTATTGTGTACATCACATTTAATGTTGATAAAGGTGGAGCTAATGCTAACTAGCTTACAGTATATGATTAGAATTTGAATTATTGCTGGGCAGCTTGTGTTACTCAAGTAACAGTACTTGAGTAAATGTACTCAGTTACTCTCCTACTCAGTACTCTGCTACACTGTGCTGTCTATACTGCTGCTGTTAACAGATGTTAGCTGACTGTACTGATCAGTGTGGTCTCGTAGGTGTCCTGTGTGTCCGTGAGATGTCAGAGCTGCCCTGCCAGTTCACTGATGAGCACGTGTTCCTGAATAATGAGGGGCACACGGAGACTCAGCACATCCACAGAGAAGCCATGTTGCAGTTTGGTCAAAAAGGAGATGCTCCCATTAACCCGCATGCCATCACTTTCCTGGTCACTGGTAAGAAAGAGATGCTCAGTTAACAGACTGTGGACTATTCTGTTCTTTTCTATTCTGTTGTATTCTCTTTTGTTCTAGGATCCAAGTTGGACCTGCGGCACTATGTGGATGAGGTGGAGGCAGAGGAGTTGGAGTGTGAGCTGCGTAGGTACAGTACAGAGGGCATCCATGTCCGCTGGCCTGTCCAGGGGGCTCAGGAGTACAACCACTGGTTCAGCTGCACCCTGAAACACAGCAAGGGCAGGTTCACTGTCATTGGCTTCCTCAGACACCACTGCCCAGCCCCCCTCAGGACGGCAGGGCTACCGCAGCTGGCCTGCTATCGGGGACAGGGACATACTCACAACAACAGGTCACTCGCTGTCTTTAATAATCTGGAACTCTAAAGTTGATATCAGCTCTATATCACAGTCTAACCAAAGTGTTTCTCTGTCTGATGTGTTTCTGTAGTTGTCATGGTCGTCAAAACACAGACTCCATCAGTGAAAGCAGGCCTGGGCTCCCAGCAGAAGCTCCACTGCCAGTTTGCTGTTGACCACAAGGGGCCAAGCTTCACTGTGGAGTGGCACCGGCAGCATAGGGGAGAGACCCGAGCCATACCAGCCGCTCAGGGCAGACCCAGGGAACCGGGGTTGGGCTGAAGAGCCTGGCAGGCGGGGATGCCTCCTATACAGTCCCCTTCACCAAGATGACCAGCGAGGGGACATACATTTGTTCAGTGTCAGTGATTCCACTCTTTGCCAACCTGGATATAAATCTGCATATCGAAGGTGAGCGAGACCCACAGAAGTTGTGATTCAGGACGCACTAGTATAAAATGCTCATATGCAGAATATAAATATGATGCTGTATATATTGTAATTTTGCATGTGTGAGCTCATTAGACATATTTCTTGAGGGAAGTCCTTTTCAATTCTAAAACAAATGTAATTAATAGGTAATGTTCTCTTTTCTTGGTTTTTGTTAGCTGTGTCTTTGAATCGTTTTTTAAATTTACTACATTAAAAGACTTCTGCATTATTTGAAGCCTTTGGAAATCAAGACATACATCGAACTGATGAACAATTTCTAAAAAAAAATCCTTAGATACAGAGTCACCGTCAGAACAAACCTAACTTACATACACTGCACGGTGCATCCTACCCACAATCCCTACCCTCCATCTCTGTCTCTCCCACACACAGAGACTGCATTGAAATAGACTATATACCACCCTCACCCTAAGTGAATAAAGAAGGATCCAAAACTCATTTAACAATATGCATAGTAATTATGAAAGCCAAGGCTGGCATCATAAAGTGAAGTAGATGCATGGCTTACTTTCAGAAACCCACAAGAGTCCAGTAAAAAAAAATGCAAGCTTTAGTCCAATAAAGGCGTTGTCATGGAGTAAAGTCCAAAAACTTGAGTAGTTTTGTTTGCGAGTGATTTATTGATTGACTGGGACCAGAGTTATGACTCTAGTCAAAAGAGCTGAAGAACAGTAAACTTGTTATTTGGAGTAAATCATTTTCAGGCTCATATATAACAGTGAACGATGGGGGTGTCTGATATCAGGATAAACAAGCTTTCATTTAAATTTTCTCCCTCTCCGCAGAACCTCCCCGTGTCTCAGTGAACGTTGGACCCATTCTCTCCCTGCAGGTGGATGAGGACAAGAAGGTTGTTTGTGACGCGGAGAACTACTACCCTCTGGATGTGGAGATAGTTTGGTACGAGCAGGACCCGGCAGCGTCAGGCCAGAGGGTTGGCGCCCCTCTCCCTAAGGTGCTCCAGAACGTTCTGC